ATGACTATCACTCCCCCAAACTTCATGAAAATTGGCTTATGAATATACATAACTCAAAGATGCTTTTGCAAAACAGGTTATAACACATCATTTTTAAGGATATATTGGCATTGGAAAAGGTGTAGAAAAGGGCAACAAAAGTAATTAGGGGTTTGGAATGGATCTTATATGAAGAGAAATGAAAAAGACTTGGGACTTTTCAGATTGGAAAAGAGGAGACTAAGGGAGGATATGATAGAGGTACATAATTTCATTTTGTGACCCCTAGTTCTTATAGTGTGGGAATAAGTAAATAACTTTTCATTATTCACTTTTTCTACACCACTCATGATTTTAATAGGCAGCATATTTAAACAAACAAAATGAAGTTTTTCTTTACTCAGTGCACAGTCAACTTGTGGAACTCTTTACCAGAGGTTGTTGTGAAGACTAGGACTTTAAAAGGGTTCAAAAAAGAGCTAGATAGATTCATGGAGGTTAAGTCCATCAATGGCTATTAGCCAGGATAGGTGGGAATAGGAGAGGGATCACATGATGACTACCTATTTTGTTCCCTCCCTCTGGGGCATCTGGTACTGGCCACTGGCAGTAGACAGGATACTGGGCTAGATGGACCTTTAGGCTGACCCAGTATGGCCATTCTTATGTCACAAACTGCTGAATCTGCATGCCCTATTTTTTTAATGTATCATTCTTATATGTGAAGTTAGGATAAAATGGATTATGTGGGGGTTTGGTCCCTTTTGGAAGTTGATTTCCTGGGTGCTATCCCCCTGACTGCTGGAGAAAGGGGAGGTGGAGAGGGAAGGAGGCGGCAGGCGGGATGCAGAGTGAGGTGATGATGTCACTCTGGCATCCCATGGGAATTTTTTTTTGTATATAGAGAGAGAGAGAGAGAGAGAGAGAGAGAGATTTTTTCCTCAAACCTCTCAGTAAAAAAACCTACACCCATAATTTACAGTGTGCTGCCGTCTAAAATTCTTTCCAGTTTTCAAATGATGAGCCTAGTGAGAGGACACATATGTTATCTTTACAAATAGACTTTTTATAGAAGGTTTCGTTTGGCTGAGATGGTGTTTTTTGTTTTGTTTTATTTTGACATCAAGCAATTCATATAAGCAATACTTTAAAAACAAGTTAATACTATTTTTAAAGCGTTCAGATAGTATATCTTTTAAATGTTGAATTGTATTTTTTATTTACCTAGATCTATGCCTTCTTGGTTAGAAAAAACCTGCAAATACGTATGCATGTGTGTAAGGCTAATCACATGCTTGTCCCAAGGATCAGGGCCTAAGGCAAAAGCCACACAGCTGAGCTACACTACACACAGACTCAGGGAATAAAGAAGTGCATTTTTAATCCCTTTTACAAAAGACAAACATTGTGATGCTACATTGATACTAATGATCTGTAATCATTAAATGGGCAGTTTTCACCTGTTTCTTTATAAATGTTAATACAAAGAACTTTATCCTGTTTCACAAAGATAACATCCTCTTCAGCAATTAACATAAGAACAGCCCAAAGGGTCAGACCAAAGGTCCATCTAGCCCAGTATCCTGTCTGCCGACAGTGGCCAGCACCAGGTGCCCCAGAGAGGGTGGACGGAAGACAACGATCAAGCAATTTGTCTCCTGCCATCCCTCTCCAGCCTCTGACAAACAGAGGCCAAGGACACCATTTTATCCCCTGGCTAATAGCCTTTTATGGACCTAACCTCCATGAAATAAAACAAATACACAAAATAGGACATTTAGTACATATATTCAAAGCTTATTTCATCACTTTAGGTCACCAATGGACAAGACTGAATTGTCAAGAAGCAGCCATTTCCTCAGTAAAACAATGAATAGAAGTGCCACACAAATTATAATTATTCCACAAAATGCTTTTATTGATGCATACAAGCCAAAGACAGAATGCCATCCAAAAAGTTACATTGTACAATGACCCAACCATGTTCAGTGTTTTAAAAGACTGTTTACACTGACTTCTAAATCCATCTCAAGTGGGAGTCTCGCTGAGGGCAAGGGTAGAGTGTTACAGAAAGAGAGGGCACAGTATGTAAATCCTCAATTACTGTTTAAGAATAAAAATGTATAGGACTTGGACACATCAATCAAGATGGTTTGAAAATTTAGGCTGGAATCTATAAGCCAAGAAAGTCTATGCATACAACGTGAGATTATGGCAGGTTTGTAGTTAAAAACAAACATGAAAATGAAAAGAATGCACTGACTTTGTGTTGTGTTAAGTACACAGCCCAGAAATTTGGAAATCAGAACAAGAAACGTGGCTGGAATGTTTTGGATCTGTTTGAAAAGATATGGAGTATTGGCAAGAAGGCAAAAAGTACTATTTTTGTAGCAATATTAGCCTGAGCATGTTACAGACACAAGGGGCGTGTCTAGACTACATCCCTTTTTTGAGAAAGGGATGTAAATTAGGCACGTTGATATTGCAAATGAAGCCGGGATTTGAATTTCCTGTACTTCATTTGTATAATGGTGGCTGCCGCTTTTTTCCTAAATGGGGCTTTTTTTAAAAAAACAAAAAAACAAAACAGCAGTTTAGACGTGGTTCTTTCGAAAATAAACCCTTTTTCAAAAGATCCTGTAAACTTTTTTTTTTTTTTTTTTTTTTTTTTTTTTTTTTTTAAAAATCCACCCTAACAATCCCTGACTAATTTGCCGGGTTTTTTTTAAAAAAAGCCCTGTTTCGAAAAAAGTGGCAGCTGCCATTATGCAAAGGAGGCGTGGGAAATTCAAATCCCGGCTTCATTTGCAATATCGACGTGCCTAATTTGCATCCCTTTCTCGAAAAAGGGATGTAGTCTAAACACACCCAAGGTGATACAGGTCCAATGAAAAATATTACTTCACAAAATCTCTATGAAGCTGTATAATGATTAATCCTGTTCATGACAAAAGTAAAAATAAAGTTTGCACCACTTAATGAAGAGAATACATTAACCTGCCAGCATTCTGGTTTAGGCAAAAATTTCACAAGTGATAACAGCAAAACACTGTAGGTTGAACCTCCGAAATCTGTGACTCTCTGGTCCACCAACCTCTATTGTCTGGCAGGACCACGGATGTTGCTGGATCAGAGAGCCCTGGAGTGTGAACTAGCTTGGAACCTGCCCCCAGGAAGCCCCAGCTGGGCGGGGCAGCAGTGGCAAAAGCAGGGTAGCTGGCAAGATCTGCCCTTGGAGATTTCAGTGGAGTGCGGCAGAAGTGAGGTAGCCAGCAAGCCCCATCCCAAGAGATCCCTGATCGGGCTGGGAGCTCCGTCTTGGGGAGCCCCAACAAACCAGAGCTCAAGTCCAAGCCCTTCAGGCTGGAGCGCAGTGGGGCCAGAGCAGAGCCAACTGCAGGTAGCGGGAGTGTCCTGGAGCCAGTGGCAGGGGACTTCCCCATATCTGGCAAATTCCTTCATTCAGGACAAGTCAGGTCCCGAGGATGCCAGATAAGAGAGAAGTGCAACCTGTAATGGCTTGATCCAACTCTCAATGATGTCAAAATGAGCTTTTTCATGTGAAAATGTGATGGTGTCCTTCTAAAGTAGGACACTAAGTTTTACATTAGCAACATCTACAAATGAACTACAATTCGGGCCTAAAGTAAATTAAGTCTTAGCAGCATTTAGGTCTGATTATCATCTCATCCTAAACTAAAAAACAAAGAATAGACACTACTGACTAGCTCCAGAAGAATGAGATACCTACATGTAGCAGCATAACAGCAAATAAACCTGACCAAACTGCATACAAGTGACAGTTCACATGAGGAACACACATAACTTATACTGATAATTAATTTGTACTCTTAAACTTACTTGTTGAGATTACAATTTTGGAGGGATACATACTAGGGATGTTAGAAAGCAGTTATTTTAATAACAGTGTAACCACTACATTTCTTAGTGGTTACAGGATGCCCCCTGGGATCAGGGCTGGCAGCCAGTGCACTCCCCGCTCCAATCCTGGGGCACCCAGTGCCATCGTGCACTGCTGCCTCTGTATCAGAAGCAAGAGCGCAGGTGGGCTTGCGGCAGATAGAGGGTGCTCCGCAGGATGTCCATGGGGAGCTCAGGCCGCCCATGCTGCTGCCCGATACAGAGGCAACAGCACGTGGTGTTAGGCAGCTCCCTTGCTTGCTCTTCATTGAAAACTCAGACCAATGGGCTGGGAATGTGCCAGCTTGCTGGGCCAAGATTTAAATGCAGAACATGGAGGAGGAGGAGGGTAGAGCGGAAGGGAGGTTAACCAACTAACCATTAACATCCCTAATACATATGAGGGGACCTTCCTTTAGTCTTTCCTAGAGCACATTCTGAGTCTCACTCTCCACCATCCCTCTTCAGATAATGCAAAATAAAGTATACGACACCCAAGTTATCTGGATGCTTAAGGTACATGATCAACATTGAAGTTATACTTTATATCAGGAGTTGGCAATAATTTTTGATGAGGGGCCACTCCAAGATTTTGGAAAGTGGTCCAGGGCCGCACTCTTCCATGATACTAATGGAGACGCAGGATCTGGAATGGGGGTTGGGTGCAGAAGAGAGTTTGGGGTAAGGGACTGGGGTGCAGGAGGGAGACTGGAGTCTGGGAGGGAGTGGGGATGAAGTAGGCGGTTGTGATCTAGGGCAGGGGTTTGGGGTGGGAGGGGATTGTGATCTGGGACAGGAGATTGGGGTGCCAGATCTGGGAGGGAGTATGGGCGTAAGAGTGGGACAGAGAGTTTGGGTATGTTGAGTGGGGAGAGGGGGCAAACAGTTGGGGCAGGAAAGTGCTGGGGTGCCAGAAGCAGGCTGTAGACAAGAGACGTACTTGTCAGCTGCCAAACTAGCCTGCCTGCAGAGCTTAAAATGTTTCCCAACCAGCCAGTTTCCCTGGCCATGTGCTTCATGAATAACTGAGCCCAGGAGAGAGGGCATGATTCTTCTTAGTTACCTGTTATTCTAACAAGCAGCTCACAGCGGCTGGTTTCTGCCAGAAGCCAGCCAATGGGAATTTGCTGGGGGAGGGACAGCCCCATAAATTCCCCTCCCCCCCCGTTTCAAAACTGAGCATGGAGGGAGAGGAGGGTAGAGCGGAAGGGAGGTTAGCCAACTAACCATTTTTTGCAAGGCACGCAGGGCTGTGGGGCAGGCAGCTGAGGCGGCTGGGGCTCCTCAGTGCCTCCACAGGCCAGATACGGGGGCTTGGCAGGCCATATTTTGCCCAGGCCTACTGTATATTAATGCCCTAGCTACATTTTTCACAAGATCAAAGAACACTTCCTCCTTACCAAATAAAAGTTCAGTTGACACACATACCAACTTCACTCTCTGGCTCTTCTGCACTAGCAAACACTGATAGTTTAATAAAATTATTCATAATATACGACTGAAGTACAAGATGCTTTAAGTATAAAATATGATAAGGCTCCATGAGCATCTTATACTGGCTCCAGGAGTATGTTAAGTTACATTTCACTACCTTATACTAAATAAAATTAAAAAAAAGCTTTTAATTAAAAATGCATATATCAGTGTAATAAACTCTATTCTGTTCCTAACAGGTTTTATAAACTCAGCTTTACAAAACCTATTTTTCCCAATAAGTTAAAAAATAAAAACCTGCACAGTTCCTTACAAATGTCTATCCAACTGCCTAAATCCCACTGGGACACACCTTCAAATATCCTTTTGAATCTCCACTGCTGTAGCTAATCCCATCTCCTCCAGGTGCTAAAATCAAGGCTTTGCAAAATACTCTAACAAATCATTCTAAAGCATGTCCCACTCTCCTATTTCACCCACCTCTGTGGCTACTGTTCTTAGGCCTCTGCAATCTTCTGGTCTCCTAGTTCCAAGAAATGTCCAATCTCTTTGACTTCTCATCTCCATGCCTTCTCCAGGGTAGGGATGTGAATGATTAACCGGTTAGGGGTGGAGCAGCAAGCTGTGGGCAGGAGCACTTCAGCCTGCATACCCCCATGTAAGCAATTAACTGGTTAAACTGGATTTTACACCCCTACTTCAAGAACCATCTTGCTCCTCAGTGACTACTTGCTTAGCACCCAACACTGGAACCTCCAGCAGAGAGGTTGGCATTTTAATGCATTCAGATTACAGAACGCCTTTCCCATTTCTGAGGAACTGATTTATCCTTAACCCTTTTTCTAACATTTTGCCTGCACTTTTCAGGAATAGAAAAGTTACATGATGAACTGGATTTCCCAGGGCAGTCATTTATTTGCAGGACAGGATCAATGCGTGCCAATGCTGCCCAAGCAACAAGACTTTATTCTGATTTTGAGGGCCACACTTATAGATAACAAGGTACCTAATGGGGAATTTGGAGGTACTGTTCACTGGGAACTGGACTGAGACTAGCAAATATATTTCACGTAATTCATTAGCCTTCTGATCATTATTCTACTGCCATCAACTGGGGCTGGATTTGAACCTATGATCTAGAGGTGAAAGGATCTATATTTCACTTGATCCCAACAGCATTCATTTCAATACATTTCTACTTGATCCCAACAGCATTCTGAGCATTCCATTTTTTCCCATTTCACCTAATGTGTCAATAAATAGAAAATTCTTCATTTACACGGTGCAGGATGTACTCATGTACACTTTTCTATTATAATAAGGAAAACTGTATATAACACACACACAAAACTGTCAGTAAAATGAGCCTTGATCTAAAATACTTCCACGTGCCTTCAAAAGCTAGTTACTCTGAGAAATAAATTTATAATTAAGCAGAGTTCTTGTCAGAGTGAAGGAGGGATGTGACCCACACACATTTTTGATTTTGCTAGTTTTATATGTTAAAACTAATGCCTCTAGGTGTCATCCTTGAACAGAAGAATCTATTAGTCACATGTCTATCACCTCACCAATTCTGGACCAATCAAGTCTGTAACTGGTATGCTTACTTTAACTAGTTGTCCAACATTAGTCAGTCTTAAACCAATATTATTTTCTTTATATCAGGGAAGGTTTTAGGGTTCTGCTCAATGAGCCATTTTATTGTAAAGAAAACAAAGATCCTTAAAAAAACAAAAAAGGGACTTCTAAATGATGTTCCAGAAGTGTTACCCTCCTCTATCCTTTATGTATCTTCATAGGACCCCACAAGATTAAAGTTTTCTGTACTGTCACAAAAGAATTACCTGCAAGAGTGAGAAGACAGCTCTATTTCCCTTTAGTGAAGTGGCTGACCAACCAGGTTGTCAGTCAGCATCAATAGTTGGGATGATTTTGTGCAATGGACCTTTGCACACTAGAAATTATGAAAACAAGCAGCTCATTATGGACTCTTATGGTACTTTGCATTTACATAGATTTTGAGGTCAGGGACCAATATAATCCACTCTAGACTAATCTCCTGCTTAACACAGGCCACATAAGCTCCCCCAGTGATTTCTGCATCAAACCCACACCAATGTTCCCTCTAATCTTTTGCATTCCTATGTGGATTTTTTTCCATCCAGGTGTGGAATAAAATCTGTGTGTCAAAGCATGTGCAAATGCATACCACCAGTAGAAACAACACACCAAGCTGTAAGCACTCTACTAATCAGCTGGGTAGCATTTTAATTTCTCCTGAGTGATCATCCTGATGCACAGTTTACAGGGAACAGTGGCTCACACCTTCAGTTTGACCTACAATATTCTTGTACCATTCAGAAAAACACCTAGTTTTGATGTAAACACTTCAAGTGATGGAAAATTCACACTAGCATGTTATGGGCTAGTGGCAAAAGCACGGCTCTGGGAGGTAGGTGTTCTGCCTTCTAATCCTAGTTTTGCCACAAATTTACAATATAACTTTGAACAAATCACTATCAGTATCTCCCCCAAGGAGGAACTGGGAGGCTTAATGAGCTATTTGTAAAGCACTTGTACATTCTAAAATGAAAATGGCGGCTTGATTTTCACTGCCAAATGACAAGGCACTGTCCAACATGAGAAAAATGCTGTAATAAAACCTGACAGAATCAAGATTTTGACTATGTTATGTATATAAAATACAGGAAGCAACAATTTTTAACACTTGATAAATGTGTAGAGAATACTGAGGATCAGCTGGTACATTGCTAATGTGCTTATAAGTCTTGTAAATCATTTTATTTTTATGCACTCAAACCTTCCCCATGTCCTTCCGACCATATTTTAAAGTTACTCTAATAGGTATTGCATCACTATGTCTTCTTCTTTTGGTCTGTTTCACTATTTAATTTTCCAAAAGATCCATTTTTCACTGCTGCGTTGGAAAAGTTCCAGTCAACTGGACTGAGTAGCTGTTGAGTCTTTTTATATGTCCAGTATGGGTTAAGTATGACAGTAAGTGAACCTAATCCCATGATAAAGACTGTAAAGTATGCAAGTCCCATATTTTCCACTATATCATTCCAATTGGAAATGCACACCCACCACATGTGGTAAGTAAGAATCATGCGACAGTGAAATAGATGGATCATTAACCACTGGTTTGCCTTCCAAAAAAGGGTATTAGACCAGCCAATCTGGAAAAGACAACAAAGAGAAATAAGATTGCTACTTTAAAATAAGGCAGTTATTGTTTTCTATAAATAAGATACATATTTAGCTTGCCTGTTAGATGTAAACAGCCATGCACAGATACTTTTAATCATTTTCCTCTGGAGTGCTAACAGGTGCTATATAAATGTGTAATCTTTTATCCACAATAAACCATTTAATAAATTATGGGCATACAGCATCTCTTGCATTCACATAGTTCAAGAAATAATTCATAGAGGAAGACAATCAAAACAAAGCACATGTCACAATAATGCAGCAAGGGTTAATAGGGCCTGGGAAGTTTGGCCACCACCACCAAGGCAAACCATGACTCTCTGACTGCTCCACCATCTACACAGAAGGCATCTTCATGTTTAAGTTCTTATCAAATGCATCCCAGAAGGGCTGAAGTGAACTGATATTTTAGAAATGAAGTATAAACCAACCCTTTGGAACTGATTAAGGTTTAGGAAGTAAGGCTGATTTCTCTGTCCCTACAAGCAAGTCTATTCTCCCCTCCCCAGATGATATGGCATATCTGAACACTCAGACATGTGAGCATACACCTTGGCTGTGTCTACACTCTGTCACCCTTTTCCATAATGAGACCCTTACAAGTAGGAAAAGGGCTTATTTTCCGCAAGATCCCGTCTAGACTGGCGCTTTTCTCCGGCAAAACCCCGAGCCGGAAAAAAAGGGGCAGCCATGTTCATGCAAATGCCACGGGGGATATTTAAATCCCCCGCGGAATTTGCAATTCCGAAGTGTCTCATTAGCATCCCTTTTCCGGAAAAGGGTGCCAGTATAGACACAGCCTTTTAGTTTCCAGCAGTAATTGAATGGCTATTATGAAGGTTGTTGAACCTGATGAGCCAGTCTTACATTACTATTTTGACTTAATAAAAAACCTTCTAAAATTAGAATTTAGTCAATCTTTGGTCTGATGCCCATGATCCCCACAAGTGTCCCAGAAAAAGAGATTAAAAACACAGTTCATTATGTTTCCTTGCTACAAAATAGGTAAAATACAGATGTTTTTACACTAGTTAATTATAAATACCCTAAAATAGTTAAGGATCCCATTGGTCAATTATTTCCACTTTGGAAAAAAACAAATTATCTATTTTGATCTCAGAACTCATCTCCAAATTTGGAGGCTATTATTTATTTATTTGCAGACATATATTTATGAAGAGGGAGGTGAAGTAGATATGTAAGTGACTAGTCAACTATTCAATAAGCATAAGTTTATCAGACAATCGAGGAGTAGTGACTCAACTAGTCGCTCCCCCACCCCCTTGCTGCCTCTATCAAAGGCAGTGGGGGGGAGGGGGTCAAAGGAAGAGGGAGAGGAGCCAGTGCAGGGGCAGCCAGGTTAAAAGCCAGCTTCCCCCCAGCACCATGTCCAGGGTGCTGCCTGCTTCTATCAGTGGGGAGCTGGACTCCCACGTGGACAGGGGCTGTTGCCACCAAGCAGCCCCTGTTCATGGCAGCCAACCCTGGCCGCTGCGAACAGGGGCTGCGGGACTCAGTGTGAGCCAGGACACAGCATTCTTGGCTGGCACCTCTACATTTTAAAGGTAATAAGAGCCTGGTACTACATTTAAAATGCAGAACCGCAGCTACCCCCACTGCAGCTCTGCAGAGCAGTCCTATCGACTAATCGTAACCGCCATTTAACATCCTTAATGTGAAGGGACAACACTTTTAATTACTAGGATAGTCATTTCCTTTAAAATAAGATTATTAGTAAATTCTTACCTTTAAAAATACCCAGGAGATGCAGGTTGAAGGAGTACTCATCTCAAGTAGCAATCCCATCAGAGGTAAATAGTGCCCAGATTTTATATTTGTTATCAGCCCAAAAGAGCCAGCAAGGGCAAATAAATGATGAACTACCAAGAACACATCAAATGTCCTGAAAACAATATCAAACAAAAGAACAGCCACATTTTCAAGCAAAAAGAAGCCAGAGGCTATTAAGCAATTAAACCAGCTCCAATTTTGCTGGGAATACACTTTATCAGCTTGAAAAACTGGATCTATGAGCAAGGCCCACAACCCAGCTATCCAACTCTGAATTCCAAACACGCCACGTGTGATAGTCATATTCCAGAAGACCTTCTCCTTTGCTGAGAGAGCACAGTAAGTGGCACAGATCCATGAGGACAGCCAGTGAGCTAGAAGAAATATTCCCAGGTAGATGAAAAAACCAGCTGCTAGTAACGTCAAACGAACTTCCCATAGAACATAGTCCCAGTCAAATATGGCACTGGATGTTGTATCGTCGTTTGCTAGATTCATTTCTTCCCTCTATTCTTCCAAATTTTGGGAAGGAGTCTGAAGCTTCTTACCCACACGTTGGTCTATTTAAAGCTGATGAGCCTGTGTTGTAATATACAGCAGGTACCCATCTGAAGTTTAAAAAAAGAAGGAAAATTGTTAAGAATGGCTACACACAAACACAGCCATTCTTGACAAAGTCATTTATAAATGCTAATTTCTCTACAGTTTATACTTACTTCCCATCTACAGGCAGTCCCCGGGTTATGTACAAGATAGGGACTGTAGGTTTGTTCTTAAGTTGAATCTGTATGTAAGTCGGAACTGGCGTCCAGATTCAGCCGCTGCTGAAACGGACCGCCAGTTCTGACTTACTTACAGATTCAACTTAAGAACCCCAAGTCAGCTGCTGCTGAAACTGATCA